GATGGATATTTGGACAAGTTTTATGTAAAATGTATTATAATTTTATTCATATTAATCAATATGTAAGTTCATTATTATTGGCTGCTTTATCATTTGATCGGTATCTTGCTGTATGTCATCCAATTCAAGCTATTGAATTTCGAACAAGAACAAAATGTGCTTTAATTATAGCAGGTTTGTTTTGTTTTTTATAAAAAAAAAAAAAGCAAACATTTTTGTGTTAATCGATGTTTTATAATTAAGGATGTTGGATTATTTCTGTTCTTTTTCTTTGTCCAACATGGGTATTTGCAACAGTTACATCTGAAAAATATATTGTTTGGTATGGATATCAAGTACAGAAGTAAGAACATGTTCGTTTTTTTTTTTCATTATTGATTTCAGTAGTTTTGCTTATTACATGTAATTGGTTTTAACTAAATTAGTTAAAAATTAGTCTAGTCATCATTTCTATCCATTCGTATCAATTAAAAGTCTCATGAGAATAAACAAATGTACCGACAGAGTACAAATAGATTTCTGTATGTACGAGAAACTATAATAACATTCACATTAGATAAACAAACAGAAACTGACATGTTTTCACAAATTATATTTCTAATAAATATATCTATTTTCATATCGAAAATGTAATGAATGCATTCAATCGAAAGAATTTTTGCATGACTTGATGTTCATAAAATATATAATTTAAAAATGTCATCTGAAACAAATAGAAAAGAACCATAAATGTTCTAGAAATATAATTTAATAATAATCAGATGAATATACTTTTATTTCATTAGTATTTCCAGTACATCGACATCATTTATGTTGTCAGAATATTTATTAGCAGATAAGCGAATTTCCATAAAAGATTCTAGTGAAAAGCAATAAGATAACAAAATATTTTATGGATCATCTAATATTTATATCTAAATTAATTATAAATATAGTTTAAATATGAATTATTTACTAATTTTAACAATAAAAAAAATGTCATCATTGTTAGTTGCTTCTTATTTATTTGTAGATATTTAATTAAAGAAAAATTTAACTAATAAAAATATTAATATTCTTAATAGAAGTATACATAATTATGCCTTAGCAATTCCAAATTACGCAAGGTCTGATAGAACGTTAATTTACTATTTATGAAAAACTGCTTCTAGGGCATTTGTGAAAGGTCATGTTAGATTGACAAAAAAAAACAAAACAAAATAAAAGAAACTTAGAAATTGTCGTTTATTCTCAAGAGTTACATCTTTTTTCGAAACTTATACTTGAGTCTTATGCAAACACTTTAAAAAAAAATTGTTTTTTTGTCATTCAGCATTCAAAATTGAATATAGACAAAATATTCGAATAAGATTTTTTTATGTACGTGTCTTGATTTGTAATTTATAAATTATCTGATTTTCCTAAATAAATAGATAAGTCTTATGTTTAGTGTCGGTCTACTTATCATGTTACAAGTCACGCAAATATTTGTCGTTTTTTTATTTTTCTACGTTGCCTGTTGCTACCAAAAAATATTTCTTTTCTTTAACTATGAAGTGAATAGTTAAAAATCATGCTCAGAATTTTTAATTTTCTCCCTAAGAACTACATTAATATTCAATAAAATTCTATTCATAATTAGAGTAATAATTAAGTTCATTGATGCATGTTTCATTACTTATTATTTTTTCATGATAATTTCAAGTATTGATGCTTTTAAGCTGAAAACTCAACAAAATCTGGAGCTCACCAAAAATTATTAAAAAGTGTTTGAATGAACTTATATCTTTTGCTAATGATTCGGTTGAAAATTTAGTGAAAGAAAAATGTTCCTTCGGCGATGATATAATACAGGAAAAAACAGCTATAGATGCTTTTTGACTTGTGGCATAATGAACAGGATGAGAGAATATATTAGACTTATTTGTTTAATTTAAAAAATTGGATCCATATGTCAGTATGACTTATTCGCATTTCCATAGATATAACTCGAGGTACCATTATCATAAGGCTTATTCGAATGCAGGTCAATATAACATTTTATTTATATTCAATTTTGAATGCTGGATTTGAATAACCTATTTTCAGAAGAAGGCAGTACCTTAAAATCAATCTGAAAAAAGAAGTTATTTCGTTGATTTGAAAGCTTTCTCATAATGTTAATGCTTTCTATATATCATAAATCTTCTTGATGCTTTTCATAATGATAAGAGGTACATTGTTGACACTAGATCTAAAGTGCTCATATCGTCTCCATCGGTATTGAATCTATATTTGAATTACAAGTTTGATTGCTCAATAATATCTAAAAAAGTAGTTTAACTCTATGATTAGTTACAATCGATGGCGTAGTCATGAATTTTTGAGTTGTTAGCAATTTATTAGTCAAACTATATTGAGGAATGAGTAGCTATAGGCAATTGTCATTGTCTCAAAAAGTCTATAGGCTATTGCCCAATGGCCCACGGCTGGAGATACTACTAGTTAGAAGTAAGTTATGTATGTTAAAATATGTTTTCAATAACGGATTATATATTACATACAAAATGTTTTTGAAAACTAATTTTTAACGATAAATATAATGTAACATGGAATAATTTATCGAGTTGTCAAATTAAAAATGTATTTTTACAAAGTTTCATGCAATCGAATCATTTTATACAAATTAAAATCAATTAAGCAATAATTATAGTTAATGAAGAAAGTGTCATAAATATCCTGTTGATTCCGTTTAAGAAATGAGCTCCATTAATGAGAAAATCTAAATCTTTGTTGACATCAAAAAAAAAGCGCTAAATAATCAAATGAAATCGTATTAGCTTATTTTATGATTCAATTATATGAGATGGTCCATTTATACGAAGTTTAATTAATATTATGGTTTTATCTAGATAATCAATTAATCTATTTATATATATAATTTTTTGAAAAAGATAATTTAATAATTGATTAATAAAATTTTCCTATTAATAGATGTGTTATCGATTTTCCAGCAATTATATTTACAATTCCTCCTGAAATTGTTTTTACTTATTATGCATTTTTACTTGGTTTTCTTTTTCCTGTATCAATGATTACAACATTTTATATTCTTGTTCTTGTGCGTCTTCATCATATACGTCGTAAACATCGATCTGAGTTAAAAGAACGTTCACATAGAAAAGTTACACGTATTGTTCTAGCTGTTATAACTGCTTATTTTATTTGTTGGGTACCATATTGGTTTTTACAAATATTTATAACAATTGATCCATTGATTCAATCATTACGTTTAAATATTTCAATATTACCAGCTAATAGAAATATGCGTTTTCTTAAAGAATTAACACATTTAACAACAATAATTGGTTATGCTAATAATTGTCTTAATCCAGTATTATATGTATTTTTATCTGATTCATTTCGTGAAGAATATTTACTTGTTCTCAATTGTTTTCGTTCTCGTCGAAAAAATCAACGCAATAATAAACCCGATGAAAATATTCAAGTATTTGAACGTAAACCAAAACGAAAAGTACGAAAATTATTTCTATTTCGAACACGACGTGAATCTGCAATGAAAAAAGCTAAACATAGTGTTGCTATTGATGATATACCTTCAGAATGTCGAACATTTTCATTATGTTTTAATCATTCAAATGAACAAAATCGTTATTCAGTTTCATCAACATCATCACGAATTATGAAAAATAATGCAAAGAATATCATGCCTTCACCCGTTACTACTTGTGAATCATCTAAATCTCAACGAAAATCTTTTAATAATAAATTAAATTATTCTTCAGAAAAAAAACTAACATTTCAAATAACAACAAATTCAACTTGTCAATCAAGAACTATTATCGATGATGGTGGTGTTTATTGTGGTGATTAAATCAATGATGTAATCAAGAATTTTTAATTTATAAGCAACTATTGCCATTTTTCCAAAAGAAAAATTCGTGGACAATAACTTTTCAAACCGTAGGTGATTACTCATAGTTTGATACATTGCTGTACTTAATAAAAAAACAATCTCTCTCTCTCTCTTTTTTTTTTTTTGTTTGTGTTTTGTCATGTAGATTTATTGTAATAATACATAAACAAAAAAAAACCTTCATTAATTTATTTCTTTTCTTTGCTCAATAAAAAAAGAAATGAATCACGTGAGACTATTCTTGTATGAATGTCAAAATGTGTATCTAATTTTTGCCTATTATATCTATAAGTCGGTCAAGTAAATATAACATGAAACGGAAATAATCATGACAGTGCACATTGAAATAAATCTCAAACTAATTATAGACTAATTTGTTTGCTATTTTTATCTTTACATCCAAAAAAAAAATTGACTACTGTCGATGTCATAATTTATAATAGGATAGTACAAATTCTTTTAAAATTACTTTGCTAAATGCAGCTCTCTCTCTAATGAAAAAGCATTGTAAAGTTTATTTTTATAACTAACTATTATCCGTTTCAAAAAAGAATGGACTCGATTGTTTGTTGAATAACTCGGCAATACTGATAGCTATCGAGCTTGGATTTCCGTCGTTAGAAAGAGTATGCGTGATGGTACATGTCTACCTGAGAATCAAAAAATTTGAAAAATTTTCTAGGTTTCAGGAATTTTTTTGAAAAATCACTATCTGATTCGTTTGATTAGCTGTAATTTCAATTTAGCCATACAATATGTCCGGTTACTATATTCCATAAATTTTATATGATAAAAAACAATTTGCAGTGCAAAAGTTTATTCGTAATAAAAAAAAAGAAAGAAAAAACTGGTCTTGTTCATATCGCAATCATTCGTCCTGTTTTGGCTTAGTTTTTTTCTTGTAAGCATGGGTATTTAAAAAAGGAACAAAAGTTATAATGGCAATAACAACAATAAGTAGTAGTAGTAGTAGTAACAAGAAACAATAACAAGAGAAGAGAAGAAAAGAAAAGAAAACATTTCCTACGGAACACAACACGCATGCAAAAACTTATGTTGAGAATCAATGCCTTATTATTGTTTTTTTTTTTTCGTTCTTTTTTGATTACATTGTTTCGATCTAAAATTAAATACCAAAATTTAATCTAATGATAATAATTAAATTGAATTGACTTACTATATCATCAATTTTTAAAATTGATCGAACAGTTTCAGTAGCTAAACGAATAGCACTAACAGAAACAAGTAATGGTTGAACAACATTTTCTTCAAGAATATTTGAGATAAGACCCTAAAAGTTAATATTATTATCATAGAATAAAAGCTTCGCCTTTTTTTTTTGTTTTTATAGAAAATATACTTTTCGAACATTAATACCAGCATTTGTATCATTTTGAGCATGACGATTTCTTAATTCAGTTACAGTTGCTATAGGATTTAATCCGGCATTTTCAGCTAATGTATACGGAATAACTTCAAGTGCTTCAGCAAATGCTCGTATACAATATTGATCAACACCTGATAAACTTTGAGCATATTCAGCCAAACGAACAGCTAATTCAATTTCAGGTGCAGCTCCACCAGCAATCAATGCTCTATATAGAAATAATAATAATAATAAAAGATAACATTTTCTTTTTCTTCTTTTATTTTGTTATATTACGAACCTTTCTTTAACAAGACATCGAATAACACAAAGAGCATCATGAATTGATCGATCAGCTTCTTCAAGAACTAATTTATTTGAACCACGTAATAAAATTGATACTGTATGGCCTGGATGAGCAACACCTGTGATCTAGTAGAATAAGCATAATTATAGGTGATGCTTTAATAAACTTCAATTGTTCAGTATTTTCTAGTGAATAACTTTCTAATTATAAAAAACATTCCTGTTGCTTTCTTTTTTCTTTATCCTATATAATAATTTTTATACTGAATAATATGAAGACCTATAAATAATAGAATTTATAAAATAGCGTATGTAATAATTTTTTATTGTTTCATGTATTTCTGCAATGATCATATTCATAGTTCCTCTACTAGACATTTACATATATTCTATATTAGAATTTCAATTTTCTATGTATTATTATTTAAAAGATATAAATTATGTTAAAAAAATAACAACAATTTTTAAATTAGTTTTAAAATCATAATCATTGGCTTATGATGAGTTATTTTAACTTTGATATATATAACTCTTCTGTTTCTGACATTTTTCTTTCATCATCATAAATAGAAAACGAAATTGTTTAATCTCCTTACTTTTTCTCTCTGGTAATAGAAACTGGTAAAACCAGAAACATAGATAAAATAATTAATACTTATAGGATGTGAACTACTTCATAAGATACACAAAATCTTTGATCTATTATAGTAAGAGATGGATCAAGATGCAAAGTATCATCTTTTATGTGACAATACGAATAAAACATGAAAAATATTTCTTAAAGTAATTTTAAAAAGTTCTTCTAATTTTTGATATTACTTGTATCTCTTGAATAATAGTAAATACATAGAAAGCTGAGATTCTAACACAGAATAAATCCAGATGTTTAACATCTATACTATAAATATCAATCATAATCGTTATAGAAACATTGTGAGAAAAAAATATATTATTTTAGGATCAAAATACTCTACAATAATAGCAATTTGGTAGTTATTTTCATTAGTACTATTTTGTTTCTTTTGATTCGAACTAATTTTCAATAATTTCATAAAGAAACGTATTCAACTGATCAATCACTTTCTCACTAAAAGCTATGGATCATCAATCATACTGATTTCGAATATAACCATAAGAAATCCTTTTAGATCTTTATCTATTGGCTTTCTAAACTAATAAACATTTTACTAAAATCGTTTTGAATCTACTTAGATTATAGAGTATCGAAAAGTTTGTTAGTCTAGAAAACCAACATAGTCAAAAATTTGCAATTCATTGAAATATGTTATTCTTAAAAATAATCACTAATGAAATATTAAACATGTCTGAATGTGGTTTTTTTCTGTTTTAAATACCTTAACAATTTTATCAGAACCAGCAGTAATTTCTTCAACAAGTTCAGCTGTACCCAACATATCTTGTTGAAAATGATCTAAACTTGCAATGGGTTTACAACCAAGTGTCTGAAAAAAAAAACAAATATATTTTTTATTTTTTCTATATAAATATCAAAACAATTTAAATATACTTTAGCAATAAATGGTACATCTTCTCGTTCAACATCTTTAACAATTAATATTTTCATTTTTGCTAAATAATGTATAGCTAAATCACTAATAGCATCACGTAAAATTGATTTTTGTATAAGTAATACATTGCAATTGGTTTTTTTAATTTGTTTTATTATATTTAATATATATTGACGTTCTTCTTTAATAACACGATCCATTTGTGCATGATCACTAATAATAACTGTATTTTCCATCTAAATAATAGATGAACAAAAAAAAAAGAATTAATTAAAATACAAAAAAAAAAAAAAGATTATTAATAACATACATCAGTTTTTGGTGGTGAAATACAAAATTGAATTAAAGCTATTTTAGCTTTTTCTATACGTGTTGGTGCTCCAAAACCAATTGTTTTTTGATCAAGAACAAGACCATCAACAAGTTCTGTATCGTCAATTGTACCACTAAAAAAAACAAAGGTATCTATTCAAATTACATAATTTCATAATTTTATTTTACCCAAGTTTTTTAACAACACGAATATCCCGTAGATCAACATTCGTATCAACAGCTGGATCAATAACTTTAAGTACAGCTTGAACAGCAATTGGAGCAAGAAGATGAGTATGTTGAGAAACAACCTTAAAATATATCAGAAATATTTTTTGAAATTATTCTTTATTAAATTTTTTTGTTCACTTTTGAATTTAATGCAGTTGAAGCACTTCGATGTAATGATTCCTTGTCACTAAGTTCTATAGGTATACTAATACTTTTAAGAATTTCCGTTGCTTTATCAGCTGCTTTTTCAAATGCTTCAGCAATTGTAGTTGGATGAATACCTATATTTAATAATTTAAATGAATAAATTTTTAACTGACTATAACATTTAAATCATAATCTAATAGTTTTATGTAACGGAAAGTTGGAAAGTTTTTTACACAAAATGTTTGTTCACTTGTGATCTGATAGAAAGTATTTCCAACGAGTCAAAAGCTTTGACCTATGATGTTCTTTTCGAATATGACTTTAGAAATTTTGTATCTCTTTTTGTATAAGACTAATGAGGAACTTTCTAAAAAACCTCAAACATATTAATTTTGATGATGAGATAAGAAGTTTTGGTTTATCCTATAAGTTCTTTTCCGAATATGCTAAAAATTATCGAAGTCTGTTGTTTTGTAACGCTAACATTCTTCTACCACCAAATGTGATGCTTAACTAAGCTGTAGCTTTTACTCATCTGATCTACAAGTTGATCTATAAATAAAGATTTAAAATTTTAGTTTCGAATTGCAATAAAACAAATACAAAAATATGCAGAAAAAATTCTCTGTCGAAATTTTTTGAGCTTTTCAAAGATTATTTCACTGCTCTCGAACAAAAACTGAGCTAAATTTTCTAAGCCCATCCTAACTCATAGCTTTTGATTTGTTGTAAATACTTTCTAGTGGGTCTCAAATGAATAAACATCTTGTCTAAAAACCTTCCAATCATCCATTATTCTTCTATCGTTTCATATTAACACGTCAGTACAATTCCATATCCTAGTTGAGAAAATATTTCTAACATTAAACAAATCAAATAAAACCTGTCAGCGCTATTCCATGGTATTAAAGTTTCATTTACCTTTAGCTACAAGACGACTAGCTGCATCAAGTAGACTACCAGCAATAACAACAACTGTGGTTGTACCATCACCTGCTTCAATATCCTGAGCTCTAGATAATTCAACCAACTACAACAAAAGAAAAATATTCAAAACCAATTTTGTTAAATGAAGAATTTTCTTCAAAAAAAGAAACAGAAAACAAACCATTTTTGCAGCAGGATGAATAACAGACATTTGTTTAAGAATAGTAGCACCATCATTTGTAATTGTTACTTCACCATTACCTGTTTGAATCATTTTATCCATACCACGTGGTCCTAAACTTGTTCGAACAGCATCAGCGACAGCTAAAGTTTATCACGAAATTTTTCTTTTTTGAATTATTATTTTTTAATTAATAAAAAATTTTTTTTAATTACCTTTGGCAGCTACAATATTCGAATTTCGAATAGCATCAGGTCGTTGTCGTGTTTTAAAACCAACATCACCCATTTGATTATTGCCTGATGTTCCTTTAGCATTGCTAGCATTAGTAGCAGCAACTGATGCAAATGATTTTGTTGAATCACCTGAAGTCATATCTACGGTTTTATCTTAAAGACAAACAACAAACAAGACAATGAATGTGGATTTTTTTTTTGGATTTTCTGGTTAGTTTAGGTATACATATGTTATCGAATAACGAGATTCGAAATAATCAATGATTATCGGGACAAAAGATATTAGATAAATGAAGAAAGTTAACAACAGCAAAAAGAAAAATCTCTAATAGATATATATGTATATGTATAGATATATATACTTTTAATAGAAACAGAGAAAAGCCAGAAGAGCAAAAGATTTTTTTTTGTTTTTGTTTTTAGAATGAAGAAGTATTGTTTATCATGAATGATTTTAATCAGAGAACTATACAAAGATATTTTTTTTTAATTTTCCTGTTTATTCTTGTTTTCTTAATCATAATTTAATAAGCACGTTCACGATAACGCGATGATGAATATCGACTTGCAGATGGTGGTGGTGATGCTGGTGATGGTGAATGCTGATACGCACGACTTCCATTATGTGAACCACGATGACTACCACCTTGATGATCACGATCACGGTCACGATCACGTTCACGATCACGATCACGTTCACGATCTCGATCCCCCCCCCGATCGCGATCCCGATCACGTTCTTTTGAATGTTGATGTTGTTGTTTATATTGTTTAGCTGCTTCATAATGATCATAAAAACATCGATCCGAATAACGACAAAAACCATGACGAAGATAATATCGACAAGGTAATGTTCTTAAGATTTTTTAAAAAAAAAATGAAAATAAATTAGAAATAATTAATTAATTAATTGAAAAAGAAAGATATAATAAGAACAATCGAATTATACAAACGTTTAAGGCTCACACTGGTATGATAGAAAACACAGCACATCTATACATACATTTTGAAAATATTTTGTTGTAAAAAAATAATATATGTATTATATATATATGTATATGTATTTAAATATTTTGTTTGATCTGCCAAAATTAATTGGATATTATATAATACTAACAAACAGCCAGAGTAATGATGATACTCGTTTAAGTAATAATTAATATTAAGTAAAATAAGTCTGTTTAAGAACAATGGGCTTAATCTGAGGAAGAACTCGATTGACGAATAAAAACATAAGTCTAGAAGAATGACACAGTAATGATAACTGTCGATATATGAGAAAATATTTCCCTAATAGGATTTGTTAAAAATGATAATATTTTTTTTTCTTTCTTATGAATTTGTTTTTTTTTTTTTTTTTGGAAAAAAAATTTCAATAACTTACTTTAAATGATTTTTATGTTTTTTAACAAGACGATATTTATCGTCCTTATTGTCAAACCACTGTTTACTTGGTGTTATAAATGATGAACGAACTTTACACACCGGACAGCTAAAAAAAAGAAAAATTATTTTAATATTTTATTTTTATTCTTATTACCTTTCCGATTCAGCATTGCTATATTTTGAACGTTTCCATGAAACAATACATTCATAACAACTAAAACAAAAAAAAATATTTTACTATGAATTTATTTAATTTACAAACATACAAAATATGATCGCAATTATCAAGTACACCATATAAACGTTTAGCTGCTTCGACATCACATGAACAAATAGCACAAATATGTCGACCTGCATCAGCATCACTACCACGACGACGACGTCGTTTTGATGATGAATTTGATTGACGAACTGGTGATGGTGAACGATGATTATTATTGTTATTAGCATTCTTACGAACATCAGGTGATTTTGAACCTTCTATTGAACTACGACTACGTGATCGAGACGTTGCCGAACGTGGTGAAGGTGAACGACTTAATTTTAAAAAAAAGACAATTATTTTTCTATGAAAAAATCCTTTTTTTTTTTTTGTTATTTTACTTGGAGTTTTCTCGTCGACGTTTTTGTGTGACCGATGATGAAGGTTGACGGGCATTATGTCCATTACTTCCTTTATCATCAATAAGAACAACACTTGAACGAGAATGAGATCGTGGTAATGGATCAGGTGATATTGACCGTTCTGAACTCATTCTTTAACTTAGATCAATGTTAATACACGATTATTTGAATCTAAAAGACAAAAGAAAAATTTTCTTACAACAATGTTATATCAATAAACAAATAAACAAACGAATAGGCAGATAGACAGAAACAAATGTCGTACATGAATAACAATTGCTTAGCAAAGAAAAAAACAAACTTGTGAAAAAATATTTATTAGAAAATATTTTAGAAATTAAATTTAAATTTAAATTTAAATTTATTTGATTAAAATATAATTTTGATTAAAAGAAATTTTCTATTGAAATAAAATATTTTTATAGATGTCGCATGATTTCGTTTATTTCTCAAAAACATGATGTTGCTAAGAAATTCAATTTTAAGAGAATGCAAATGGTATAACTGCAAAAAAGTTTTCTTTCTTTTTTTTTTGAATACTTAAAATTATATTTGCGATTCGCTTAGATATGGATGAACGTCACTGGTGGGTTGCATCAAAAGTTGAACAAACATTTGGTATTGATAAAACTTCAACTGTTGATGCATCATTTATCGAATCATTCTTTCGTCGACCTGATGTACTTGAAAAAATGAATAGTTTTTTATTTGCAAAAGGTTCAAATAAATTATTTTTTTATACAACACGTGATCGTCTTTATTCAAAAGATATAACATGTTGTCTAACTATTGTTGATGAATATACTCTTGTCAATGAACCATTAGATAATATTATTTTATTATACTTTATTCGTTCGGATACAAGTTCAGATGCAACTATACCACCTGCATCGGATATTTATTGTGGAGAAATAAAGCATTCAGCACAAATGACATCATTACTTTATTCACAAACATTATTACCATTATTTAAGAAAGAATTATCACCTAATTCTAATGATAGTTATAATCAAACAACTACAAAAGCAGCTATAGTAGCTCAAATGGAAAGACATATTGATGGAATTAGTGCAACATGTCATTCTTTACAAAAAGATAAGAATTTAGTAAGTATCAAATAGTTTATTGATGTGACATTTTCCTATAAAATATCAAACGAATGTTTCATGTACACTAAAACCTCCAAGTTATAAATTATGTCAAAATTAAACTCTCAAAGCAATTTTCGAAGATTTAAAACATAAAATATGTCAATAATACTTCGCCTCCAAACAAGGCTATTGTAGTAACAATTCTGATATTTGACATAAAACACAAATAATATTGAGTCGAGTGAAGCTATTATAGGGAATCTTTTATTAAAACGTCAACTTCATGATCTGTAATATGCACAAAAAAGTGTTCACTTAGATTTGCTAAGTGCAAATATATTTATTATGTTAGACCTGTCATTAGAAGGAAGTTGCGATAGATCCACTGGAATCTAATGTATGTAGCATTGTTCTGAGCAGAAAACCGAGAGTAAGTCTAATACTCACTCAAACATTAGGATTCGTCTACGACAGACATAGATCGATCTGACGATGTTGATCTTTTCAAGACGTTACTGTATGTATATATCTCAACGACAACAAAAAGTTCGATGTCATAAGGCAAAATATCATTAATTTGACCTGTTTATCTGGAGTTTCTCTAAATTTGTCTTCTTGAAATCATTCCACATCAATAATAAAAATCACTTTATTTTCATTTACATGAAAGAATCTTAATCAGTGATAATCACTCTTAATTAACCATTATTAGTTACAAATAATTCTTATTTATCTAAACTATCTATTGAAAAGATAATATTGAAGAAACGAAATAGCAGTTATTCTAAACAAATCGAACAAACATTCGATGTAATTGATTGGGTGTTTTCATAAACACAAACATATATTAAACCCCTTAATTTCATCTCTAATGAATAATTTAATGAATTCTGGTTATGAGACTAATAGAAATGCAGATATAATTTAGTACGATAGGAAGCAAAACATTTCTGTACATAGAATGCTTTTTCTGACACATACATTTGT